GTAGGGCTGTGTTATACCACATATTTGAATATTTGATAAACAATGAAATATCTGAACAGCTATTTTTTTATCCAAATTGTGGGCAAATGTCTGTACTTACAGCCATAGTTCTTGTGAATCCCACAACGCCATGCTTGGTGGCTGTGTACACCGGGCACAGGGGACCAAGAATCAAACCTGCCAATCAGACAACACATTCAAGGTAAAGAAGACCATTTGGTTTAAAGATAGTAAAGGTAGTCAACAGTCAACACCCTGTGAAATTATTCCTTCTGGCATACTGTCATTTTGAAGTCAAAAATAAAAGAAGGCCATTTCCACAGAGTTGGTTTGTAGTTTGGGTGAATCCAAGAATTGGGCAAATCACAAGTAAACGCGTGGTTGCTATTCTTAGTCGGTTCAGTGCCTGACATCGTGTAGCTGCAATCAGCTAATTAAGAACATGATCCGGATGCTGATTTCGTGCGCAATTCAAAACTTTTGAATTGAAATTGAGATCCTAGAACATTGTTTTCTCCAGATATAAAGCATTCACCGAGCTAAAAATTCATCAAGTAAGTTGTTAAGCACCTGTCTTTAGATTTTGAGCACTCGTTGCTTCAAATGATAAGAAAAATGCACAAATGACAAATGATCTACATTACCTTAAGTAAAGTTACTCAACTGCTTCAATAATTTGGATAGCAATGTTACCAAGCCCTCGTTTGCTCCAACGTATGACCTAGTACATAGGCAATCAAGGTATACTGCCCATTGAATTCTGAAAGGTCTAAGCGGGTAGTCAATTTAGTAATGCAGCCACTGCATATTCAACTTACCTGCCATTGAGGAAACATTGACGACAACGCCCCCAGATCCACCGTTCAGTTTGCTCATGTACTTCCTGGCCAAGTAGGTACCGTGAACAACAGCAGTCTGTAGATAAATGGGCCCAAAATATGGTAGAGTTAACGTAATAATACTATGTAGTGTGGTGCTGATATAGCACTTTCCACTTGAGGTAGGTCTCAAAGCCCTTCACAATCAGGCCTCTACCGTAATAGGTACCCATTTGCACTCCTGGGTGGAGAGAGGCAATTGTAGTAAAGTGTCTTGCCTAAGGACACAAGCAGCACGTTCTCCACCAGGATTCGAACCCATGTACCATGGCACATGGGTCGAACAGCCAAACCATTAGACCACATTGCTGTGAACAAGATTCAGCTGGTTTGACACTTCATATGATGTCATTATTTCACTGTTATGGGACAAAATGCCTCCTTTATTAATTAAGGGCATTATAGCATGTTCGAGCAGTTCTCAGCTCAGCTCATTCCAAGCTTTTTGTGATATTGGCCACAATTCTTCAAATGATTCAGATTCATTGCATCTGCAATGGCATCTCCATGGGGTCCGCTCATAAGTCCAACGCCTCATAGGTCTGACGCCTCATTAGTCCGACAAAATCGCATCCCCTAACCAAATAAAGGCCCATAAGTCCGACGCCTCATAGGTCTGACGCCTCATAAGTCAGACGCCTCATAGGTCCGACGCCTCATAGGTCTGACGCCTCATAAGTCCGACGCCTCATAAGTCCGACGCCTCATAAGTCCGACGCCTCATAAGTCCGACGCCTCATAGCTCCGACGCCTCATAGCTAGTCTGACAAATTAAACGCCTCATTTTTCCAACGTCGGACCTATGAGGCGTCGGACTTAGGATACGGCCCCGTCTGCATATAAGCCCCTGGCTTTGGAAGATGCCTCCATAATTTCCCATTGATTTATTGTCCTTTCTTTATTACCTATAAGATCTATATGTATAATCTTAATAAAATTATTTATTACTTCACTTTGTTACATTGTTTCATAAAAGTTGAAGCATTATGGAAATAAATGTTGATTGAATTGAATTGAAAAGGTTCAGAATTCTCACCAAGTTAATGTTGATCATTTGTCTCCATTTCTTTTCGTCCCCTACGCCTGCATTGTTACACACAATGTCCAGCTGGCCATACTTCTCTCTTGTTTTCTTGAAAGCGTCTAAAGAAAGAACGAAACAGGGTGTTGAAAACCAAACTGGAATGATCATGATTAAACAGGGCAGTAAGGCCAAGTAAAAACAAAAAATTTAAAAGGGACGAGGCAGCCTTGATACTTTTCTGTCCAAATCGTTGATACTTTTGTGTCCAAAGCCATCACCCTTTCTACCAGATTCTAGACTTGTAATCATAGCTGCAGTCCAGTTCTCACAAGACGATCACAAGTCAGCCCCAGCTATTCTGGCGAACTGTGACAAAAGCATTTATTTGTTGTTCGTCATTCCCGGTTACTTGTAACTGGACTTGTGAAAGGACTTGTGATGTACGTTTGACCCGACTCATGATGGTTCACCTTCCAGCTGTTGGTCCGATGTGACATCACATGGAAGAAAGACGGCCTTGTTGCTGCCATACTGCGAGGTGAAACGTCGAGTAGTCTCCTGTCCCTTCTGATGATTAACATCTGCTATTCCAATCCCCTAAAAAATGTGAGATATTAGTTTTGGGAAAGAAGGTAGTATCTTGATGCCATATTATTTGCCATGACAACACATGATGATGATCAAAGAGATAATGTGAGCATTAGGGTAAAACATGGTGGCATGACGACACTGCAATTTTTACGTGTTCAGTTTGAGTCGAACTGCATCATGGAACCATCTAATCCCAACTGCACATGTACACATTACTCAAATTTCAAACTCCAAGAGTTGCCATGCAATTTAAGGTAAGGGGAGACATAAATAATCAAATTTTTCCTAATTTCCCCTGTGAAAATTTAATACCATGAAAGTTCACATTATTGCTTGAATTAGTTCCCATAGGAACGGTAAACCAGGTAAGTGTGCTTCCAAACCAGAAATGAGTGCCGATTCTTCACAACCAAGAAAATTAAATTGTCCACAAATCACGTTTTGTATTTTTTTCCTTCCACTAGTGAAAATGAAAGTGTCTCACCAGTGGCGTGAATGTATGGTATGGATAGCCCCATAAATGTGGCCAATTTACTGGACTACCTCCGTAAATAAAGGCCACACTTGGAACATGTACCCAAATATGTAGAACTTTGTCAAGTTTTTATTTTCACATTTAGACTTTGTTTGTAGTTTATTTATGCTTTAGAAGCACACTCGCCCTCTTTAAAGCGAAATAAAAGTATTCCCCCCTTTTTCAGACATCCATATTTTGTGTAATTTCCAGGTTCATTTTGCACATGTTAGTCGTTAGCGTATCTAAATGATAGTGGATATATATTTTGCCGGAGGTAATGACGGCAAACTAACGATTACTAAATGTTTGCCGGCGGCAATCCATATCAACAGGGCTGAATTATAAGATGTATTAAATTCCCACCAATAGTTGTGAAGCACGTTTGGTGTAATGGTTAAGCAAAGGCTCTATTAAGCGGGATGACTCGCGTTCGATTCCGACCGCACCACATTTTAAAGTTTTTTTTTCTCATCCCCAATTAATAAATAAGAATATTCTTCTTTTATTATTTTAACATGTCTCAAACATTTTTTGCAGAGTATTACATTTTCTTTTTCAGATTTGTGGCTCTGGAGGATTTTTTTTAAAAGGGAAATAAAGTTCAAAATTATAAAATGGTCTGAATCCCATCTTGTGAATACGAGGTAACAACGATAATTTTGGTATGGAGCCAGACTAAAACTTGTCACCGGAAAATGTGTTAAGTACAAAAAAACAGTAACTGCGCATGTTCAGTGCATATCCGGCAAACTAACGTTTACTAAAGGTTTGCCGTCTCCGGCAAAATATACACTGCCTATCTAAATCCCAACACGAAATTACACCAAAAATAGACGTATGAAAAAGGGAGGAATAATTTTCTTTCGCTTTAAACATGTTAAAGAGGGCGAGTATGCTTCGGAAAGAATGCTGCAACCTGACGCTACTTCGGTGGTTGTGTACAAAGTTTACGGAGAGTCAAGAAAATTTTACAAGTAGGGCCTATTTCCTAACAAAAATGGAAATGTTTCTCAGTCCCAGATTCATGTCTTTATATCATCATTTTTGCAATGACTGACCTTCACTGAGATGATTATGAAGAAAAAATCAGCGTCAAAAATTCAGCAAAAATTCTTGTGCTTCTAAAGCATAAATAAACTACAAACAAACTAACAAAGTCTAAATGTGAAAATAAAAACTTGACAAAGTCCTACATTTTTGGGTAGGGCCTACATGTTCCAACTCCAACCAAGTGTGGCCTTTATTTACGGAGGCCCCAGTCCAGTAAATTAAAATTGGCCACAGCTGCGGTGCGCCTTGTCAACTTCTTTACCTTGGCACCCTTCTTCAACAATTCTTCGGCAAATGCTCTTCCAAACCCCTCAGCAGCTCCCGTGATCAAGGCAACTTTCCCTTGCACCCTCATACTGGCATGTCAAGACGAAATACTGGACGAGAAGTTACTTCGAAACTTGGTAAATTTATCTTTGATTATGCCGGTACGGTCTTCAATAGCAAAGTCCATGTGCTGAATCACTTGTTCCCTTGAGGGCGCTATACAGGTAGACTGTACAGCTCTATCGATATCCTACATGTACATGTACGCGTAAACAACACTTTATGAGGGGGGCGTGACTCCCATTTGTTCCCCCTCCCTTCTCTTTGCACATGTCCAGGAAATGGCCGAAAATGTGGGCCACCCCATGTCGGGGGGTTGGGGGTAAGCGGGGAAATATCAGAATATTTCACCCTCTCCTACAAGGCCATTCCATAGCGCTATGAAACTGTTTTAAAGTTCGTTTTTTTAAGCAGAGTTTGATATTTCAACATTTAGCAGCACACATATTTGAATAGTGACATTACCCGGTTATGTAAGGTCAAACTCAAGCCCATCACCTGACTGACAAACACGACATACAACAGTGATGGCTTCATGTGCCTTGCAGCTTATCAAACAAAAATTTCTAAGTAAATTAATCCAAGCAATGATTAATCAGGACTGACTCAACTGTTGTTTTTTTCTGCAATTCACTTATTTATTGTTATTGTACACAATTCTTTGCCAACAATGACTATGGTAACATGTTAAAAATCCAACGTGATCTTTTGATTTTTGTTAATATGGACACCCTAGTCATTACAAGGTATAGCCATCAATACCCAAAGGAAAATTATACACAGGCTTTTGCAAGTAAAAACACAGGGTTATGAAAAAAAACAACCAAGTTATTTTTTTTGCCAAAAAAAAAAAAAATTCTCAATAAAAAGGCAGGTTATATTTTTGTAGCATTATTCTACCATGCTATTGGCAATGTTAAAAAAAAGGGCAAAAAAGAAACCCCAAAGTTCAAATTAACCAAATCATTTGTGTTCTGGGGTGCTCACTGCTCAGTAGATATATTCTATTGGAGTTTAAACATAAAACACTTAATTTCCAATGGACTGGCCATATTCACTACAAAAATGAGAGAATGTGACTGATTGGCCCTATTCAAGTTGAGGGTGTTTACGATTTTGTTTTTTACATTTATTGTCAGTGTGTCGTCTTTGGATTAAATATACTGGAAAAAACATATAAACAATAACACCCTCTGACTATAATTCAGGGATGTAGTCGAGTCCATCACAAGTCCAGTCACAGTGCATGAACAATAACAGAGGCATGTCTTTGTCAAAGCTCATTTGAATAGCTAGTGATTTGAACTGGGACTGAAAGATTTGTGATGGACTCGCAGGGACTTGTGATGGACTGGACTGCATCCCTGGACTAAAGTTCTCTTCTTTTGCAAAATCCTCACACAAAGTATGACTTCAATGCGTATGCATGCAAGATGAACTTGCATGCAGCTGTTGAACACTGTGTTACAGTAGGTTTGCGCATGAAAAGTTCCAGGTTTCGGGTTATCAAAACCGTTATCTACACTGCTCATTTTATGTCAATTAATGTCTATTTCAGTTCTGCTCTTGAATATCAAGAAAACCAGGCTTGTTATATGTACATTATTTTTTTTATGAAATCAGGAATCCTTATTTATCTTCAAGCAAACTTGAGTCCCCGATCTTGACTGGTTGATCTAAGGCAACAATAGTGTGATATTATCCCATATACCAGGATCCATGTCACACTGCGCGTATCGCGCTATTCTGATGTATGCTCTATTCCTACTGCAGGCACATGTATACCGCTTGTTTGCTTGAAGATAAATTCATTATGCCACTCGCGCTCGTGGAATACGGAAAATGTAGTACCTGTGTGTTCCATATATGCCAAGTGACATAGGAAACATAGAGACGTGCTATATTATTCTGTGTTCCACTCACACTAGTGGGATAACTAATTATCTTATTTTTCCACGTCAGCTGAGCTGAAGACTGATGAATGGACAACAGTTACTGGTCCAAGTTCAAACCTTTAATACAAAGCAAAAGGTTTCCAACAACAGGATCCAGTTATCAATTGGACTTGAAACACATTCCGCATCCTACATGAACTACGAAAGGACAAAGCACCAACAAAATGTAACTGCAAGAATGAGTCCTTAAAAGCTGCTCACTGTGGTGGAAGTCAGTTGTAGCACTAGTCAAGACCAAGAGATGTGCCAACACAACACCAAAGTAAAGTACAAGTATGAATGAACATGTAAATCAGATATTACTAGGTTTTTTGGGGGGCTGGTCCCAGAGGGCCAGCCCTAGAGTCCTCTTTGTACCCATCTCTTTGTCTCTATCTTCATACCTATCTCTACGATAGCACTACTGCCGGGCAGTGCCATCCTATATGATTACCCCATAATGCCAATGAATGGGCTAGACTGGGCCCATTCTGCGGACCAGATGCATGAAAAGACTTCCAGTGAATAGCCATTCTGAATCAATTGAAGAGAATTTTGTGTGTTCTGGGACCAGCTCTACCAAGCTTGCCCAGTCTTAGTTTCTTATTCTTTGAACACGCTCTTTCAATTTTATCTTGAGATAACGTCTTCTACAAATTGTGCATAGTACTAGTAGAACCCATTCCTTTTTATAGCTTTCTAATGGAAAAGTTATCATTATACAAGCTGCTCGTTGGAGGAATAGATGTGGATTTATGGCATATAACTTTACAAGCAGAAACTTTTGTGAATAAAATTATAAAATTAGGATCTCTTTGATGAAAAACCAAGAAAACATTGGAGAGCAACCATGATAGTTTAGTTCACACATAAATCTGAAACACGGCATCAAACATAACATTACGTACAGTAGCCAGAAATAGGTTTTTAAGAAGCTAATATACACACTTTTCATTCGCCAGAAATTCAAACTACATTATAGTTTCTTTGTTAACACTGGTTTTGTTTTTTAAATCAACTCGAAAGACTTGTCAGCTAACTATAAAAGGATTTGCTATCAATGGCAATGCACTGTGGCGGTCTGTCTTTAAGGAGGGGGTATAACAAAATTTTACGAGATATTTTGTTTTTTTCTTATTTCTTTCTCTTCAACTATTATTTACACAAATGTCTCCAAAGTGATATCAGAGACACGGGGGCCATGGATCACGCCTCCGTTTTCACCCCCTCCTGGTTAACTGTCACAACGTAGGTATGATCAGATGACGCCTGAGTCAGCTGGTTAATGGCTGACTCCATGCCCGGCTGCTCCGAATTGACCTCCTGGTTCTGCAGACGGCTGGCGACATCCGGGCCGGCTGTGTACAGACCGAAGGTGGTGCTGGGATCTGGTACTTCCCTAGCGTGAGCCAGGAAGAGATCCTTGAGCAGACTCAGCTCTTTGGACAGCAGCATGACCTTGCTCTCCAGCTGCTGGTTCTCCTCCTTTAACTGCTGCACCCGCTCCTGTGTCTCCTCCGCCTTCTTGCGGCTGCGGTCCCGACTCTTGCGCACGGCAACGTTGTTGCGCTGCCGGCGAGTCTTGTACTCATCGCTTTCCTTGTCATGCAGGTACTTCTTCAAGGAGCGACCGGCAGTGGTCTGCTTGCCGCCCCCAGGTTTACGGTTGTCAGATGGCATCTCTTTGTTGTTGTTGTTACCGTTACTGCTTTCCATAGTTTGCCCCTACACAAATAAATGGAAGAATTAACACAAATTCTGTAAACTATGATTTAAAGCCTTGCATAGTAGAGTGAATACATGAAGCTTGCAGGTGACTCCATGTGAGGAGTCTTCTGTGAAGACCAAGCATGATATTTGACCCTTAGAAACAAAATAGGCAAAAGTGTCCTGCAAACCCCAAAAAGGGTAACATCTAAAGAACAGTATGATGACAATGGAGGAAACAATATAGCACATGAAATGAGGGGGAAATGATAATCCTATTAAATAGGGAAACTATCATGCATGGAAAAAGATCTGCTTTGCAAAACAATGGGATTGATTTTTCAACTTTGTTGACGGTAGACTCTGTTCTCTTTCTGCTGAAGACAAGGTCTAGGCCTACTCTCCGAATATGTCAAGCAAAATTAGATGAAAGAAATCCACCAACACAAGCAAAGAAATAACTGCAGGACAATGTGCAATTCAAAAGCAAACACATGTCAAAATGTTCTGAATTTGGGATGTTCTAGTACTGTTCCGGAATCTTGATTGCAGTCATTTCAAGTAAACTTGCTATGTGTGAAGAGGTTTTCACGGACCCAAGGATGTTAAATAGGAAGAAACTAAATTTTCAAAGAAATATTCTAACCATTTTCTGGATACCTTCACTCCCCTTCCAGGAGCTTGGGCAACCAGTCAGTCACTCACACACATAATTATAAACATCCCTTAGACTTAGTGTTGATGGACATCTGTTCATCCGATTAATCCATTTTGGAACATTTTTGGGAAAAAAAATTTCCCATTCATTAATCACACATCACTTAAATTCACACAAAAGTTTAATTCATGTGAAATGCAATTGTTTTGGCTAGGCTTTAGTTTTTTTTAAGTCATTGTTGCACAACACTAACAATTCGCTAAACAGTTTTATTCATGTGAAATTCACAGCAAATCCAATGGGAAATATTCAAAGTTTGAAAGCTGAGGTACAGGAAGGCTTTGATCAAATTATGGACCAGGTAAACTGTTGTTACAAACTGAAGTGAGCTCTTCCCCCAAGTTAATGTACGATCTTTTGAATTACTGAAGAATAAATTAAATCAACTGGTATTAAATATAAATTGCAGTTAAGTTTAACCTACCACGGGTAATGGCTTAAGAAACATTCTTGTCTGACTTGATTTTTCAGAATTTCTGCTTCAAATTCAAGCTAAAAACACCAGTCCAACAAACTGCATGTATATGCAAGTGCAACTTTTGCACTTTGACTTAAAATGGAAATTCAGCTGAGGCTTCCTTTTTATAAACCGTCCTCAGCCATTATATTCCTGGTGCGTTCTATACCACTTAACTTACAAAGACCAAAAAATAGCAACGAATATCAGCAATGATGATTCAACTTGGCCGGTTAAGGTTGCAATGGCCGCCTCACTTGGCATGAGCAGCAGCGGTGATTACGCAATCATATTGCCCAATCGCATCAGCCAGTTGAACCAACGTTAACGGGCACTGAACGTAAACAAGAAACACATTTCAATGGGGTGGGTGTGAATCACTCAGCGACCCTTTTTCGAACTTTAATGGCATTCTTACCTTCAACGGGTAGATAAGGAATGTGCTATGAATTCCGGAGGACGATCCTAGCATTGATCTCAGTTGCTAGAGCTTTAAAAAGTTGATTTTTTTGGTCGCTGAACGGCAGCGAAAACACACCGAGTATCACCTAAACGCCTCCATTATTATTTTTCTGAAGCTTTCGTGTGATTGGTAACCAACGACAGAGCATGATGTAATTTGCATTTGATCTGCATGGTACCAGCTAATGATAGGGTCTAGGCTGGTCTGGATTCGCGCATACTTACAGAGCGTTTTCAATCAACGCACACAGCACTGTAAACGTAAATAAATGGGAGTCTGTCTATTTACAAAAAGATGACGTTACGCTTCGCTAGTGTTTCGCGTTTGGGACTTTTTCCTCGATGAGAAATCCGCTATTACGAAATACCTTGGAAATACCCACGGTACGCGTGCATTATGGTCCAGCGAAGCAGCTCGGGCCGCAGATATATCCTGGAAATATAGTTTTGCTTAGAAAATATCATAACTCCCGGACTGGAATAAAAACAATACGATAAATGTATTTTTGCTGATATTTATTTATACAGTAGCATAGAAATTACACTGCTTTCTGTATCATGAAAAATGTCTCAAGTAAAATGATCTCTGAGCGCAAACCGCTTATATAATGAGTAGGCCTACCATTACATTCCAATATTTCATGTTATGTTACATTTCCTCCATTTCATTTCAGCTTTCGCGAAACCCAAGTATCCTACTGCTACACTGAGTAAAATGTTTGCCACTCATGCTCTTCAGCTTGCAATTCAGTTTTTCCTCACGATTTTTGATTTGTGGGGTTTATTTTACCCCCCCCCCCCACAAAAAAATGTCCTACTATTATATTTGGCGTCTGCAACCGTTTTGGTTTCTTTTGCGCCTTTCTAGCGCTCCGTGGCTGGACTCATTTCTCGTTTAATGTCCATTCAGAAATTAACCACTGCATTTTCGTACCGTCAGACAATATGAACGATCCATTTTTTTCAGGGCGAAACTTGAGAATGGCACAGGAGAACAACTTTATGGATAACAAAAAATTGTTAAACAAAGCATGCATGTCTGCGTCTTGGGTTTTAGATTGGATGCCTCACTCGTTTATTTATTTATTTTTTTTTTCTTTAAATAATCGTACATTTTTCATTTCAGTAGCGCTCCCCGCCCATTGCTCGACTTTTACCTTCAAGCGGAAAACAGATTTTGTGATTAAATTGCTTTCTATCTAGCAATACAAAATTACTTTTGAATGCGACACCGAACAAACAAAACCGCCTATATGTTTTGTTTACAAAATTCAATTTAATTTTTTTCGGGCCCGACAATAATTCATGCAGGTGTATTGTTTTTTTTTTTTTTATGCGTTAACGTGCAAATCCCCACATAAAAGCGTATTTTTATAAGGTTGAAAACGTCAATAAATAAAAGTGGAGAGCCGGGGTTGGTAGAGAACTTTATAGGATTATTTCATGAGCAATCTCATTGACGAGGCCTGCATGCGCTTTGCTCATAAAAACCCTTGTTCGCCTTTTTTTCTAGGACAAAAAAAACCCCGATCATCGAAAAAAAAGCAAACGTTTCTTTTTAATAACTTGTTTTATATAATATTAACCGCGTCTCAACGATCACGTCACGCGTACATGTCTGTGGTTAAAGTTGACGTTAAAGACTCCAATATTTATTTTACAAATTTATAAATCTTGTTTATTTACATCACTGACCAAACGTTTCGATCAGCTCTAATTGCGAGTATTGCAATTTTCGCCAGGGACACTGAGTTCTGATTCAAGATTGCGCAATGTCATGACTATTTTTGGGCATGTCGTTGGGAACGGGGAATATATGCCACGTGAAACATGCAACCAATCAAATCCACGACAAAAACGTAATGTCTAATAATAGAAAAACTGCACCCATCCATCCCATTGATGTGTCAGTCCGCTGGTACATGTAGTGCTAACATCTGTTGAGGGGGAAAATAGCATTTAAGGCTGAAGTTTGTCTAATTTTCTTTCTTAAGTAGTCAAGCAGTATGTGAGTGTAATTACGTTTTCGTAAAGTTTTCTTTAAAACGTCGCAAACAATCAAACGTTTTGGGGACTACCCGGCGTAATAATATTCAATGGACACGTAGTGATTCGTCTCATCGTCATATGACGAAGGTAGAGATCATGCTGCGCATATGTTACTCTGCGCCATTGCAACGTGACGACGTCGTGTAAAAGAGAGTAGGTGAAGGATTTTTCCTACCACAAAAAAGGTGAATTTTGTGACTTCGGTTCATTCCTTCAGCTGATCCCGGGCGGAAACTGATCATCAATACTCAGTCTCCACCAGAGTCGTCAAACATCAAAGGTTGTCTGTTCAGGTTGACAGTACAACTTAAAACTATTCAAGCCAATTTTACCCAACCATGTGGAAGTTCTGCAACAGCAGCCATAATGGATTCGCCGGGTAACTTCTGTATGTATGACTCTGAATATTATACCGAGAAAGAGCTCAACAAGCCAGACGAAGTGTTCCTTTTCGGTAACGAAGATTCGATGAATTTTGGGGGACTCGCCGATTACACCGGCCTCTTCCAGAACGAAAACTCGATTGACTTGAACGCCTACATTAACCCCTCGACTTCTCCCACGGACGGCTTCATCCAGCTGTCGGACTTGCTGCCATCCTCTCCGCCAAAGTCCACTATTCCAACCGAGCTGCCTCCCTTGATCCGGCCAGAAGAGGCGGAGACATCCCAGTCCACATCCAGGCACACCCTACAGCACACTTCATCCCCATCCGTCACAGTTGCTAACCTCCCTGACTCGATGCCCTCATCACATCCACAGTTCATGTCCCATCACCAAGACTGTCAGGAGGGAGCTGCTGCCTTGCAGGTGAAAGTCGAGCCATCTGAGCAAGTCGAACCAGCTGAGTACTACCAAGAGGAGGAGTACGACTACGACGACGACGACGCTAGCACCTACACAAGCGGCCCCTCAAGACCATCCAGCCCCATCTCGCAGACCCCATCTCAGCGTGGCCGGAAGTTGACCAGCAAGTCAAGTTCCAGCAGGAGAGTGCGTCCCATCCCTGACAAAGATTCTGAAGAATACAGGCAGAAGCGGGTCAAGAACAATATCGCTGTACGCCGAAGCCGAGAGAAGAGCAAAGCCAAGTCGTATGAGCTTCAGGGCAAAGTCAAAGAACTAACAACAGAGAACGATCGATTGAACAAGAGGGTGGAGCTGCTGACGAAAGAACTGACCGTCCTGAAGAGCCTGTTCACGAATGTGGGAAAGTCTGCTCCCCCCAGCCTGGCCAACATGTGAATATGAGCCTGAGGCCGGTACCGGTAGAGGTCCCAGACCAGGGAGTGGATTCCGCCCCTCCCCACGGTTGAGTGATGCGTCGTTTTGTCATATGCAGGCCGCAATTTCATGTTGGTTATGTGTTGGTGGGAGTTACTTTGGTTTTTGCATGAGATGCTGTGGACAAACACTTGTTAGTGATACTGCAAGATTTAGTTCTTTTTTAAGTGTACAAAGCTGTATCAATGTATCTGTTGTGAAATGTTCCTGCATTAACTTGACTTGTAGACCAACAGAGACTTTGAGGACCAATGTTCTAAAAGCTACATGCATTGAATGTCAAACACCAAAAAAACCAATTTCCCCGGAACTTCATTCTTGCATGGTAGAAATACCCAAGTTCAGGGTAACCAAACCCAGCATAACGGTTTCTGACATGTCTGAGAGATACATATGTAGCTTTGTATTTGTTGACAATTTTGGGTTTAGTGGAAATTTATTGAGAAGGTTGATCTCATTTGAACTCTGTAGAAGTAGTTTCTACTTTTTGTCAAGGTTCCTTATGAAGTACTTCAAGTACTTCAAAGATTGTGGCGTTACGATATGAAGGAGATTTTAGGACAATTTTTAGGTTATTAAATATGTAAAGTTTACCGCAAATTTATGAACTGCTTTCTCTTATTAAGTGTATTAAAAAAGGTACACAATGTTTGGCTGATCTATTTTCTTAAAAAATTGTAAATCAACATTTGGCTTGGTTTAGATTGCATAATAACTGGTTTCATTCGACCATGACATAAAAATATTTATACATGTATGTACATGTACAAGAAAAATCAATTGATCTTATTCAATAGATTTTTTAAAATGTCTTAACTTTTAATGAAATTTTTCCTCGGTGAAAGGACTTCATTTTTGGTTCATAATTCATACATGTTTGATCTGGAATTTGTAATATAACTTGTGTGTAATGCAAACACTAATTTGCTTTCAAATAAATCCAGCTGTACTAGGCTAAGGTGTACTTTGCATTACATGTAAATGAGCAGTATCTCCATTCCAAAACAGCGAAATAATGTATAATTCATTACAAGTTTGATCAGAAAATTGTGATTTTAAAGTAAGTTCCTTTAAACTTAGATGAATGAAAAAATAACTATTCTTATTGCAGCCACTATTTGCATTTCAAAATCCAGCTGTGCTCTGCTCAGTATCTGCATTACAAAAAAAGTAAAAATGTGAAGAAAAAAATGAAATGCTTTATTAAGCACACTAGAATTTTGTTAAAAATGCTTTGATTTACATCATAGGTACTGATTCACATGTACATGTACTTTTATCCTGAATAATGATGCAAACAGTTTAGTGGAGAATGTAACAAATATAAGCCTACCAATATTTGCTGGCTGAAAGTTTGTTTTGTGTGTTTTCAACTTATCCTTCAGTCATTCTTATGGAGAAAAATTAACCGATTTTAACTGGTTTCGGTCAAAAAGAAGTGTCCTCCCGAACATTCAGGTCCATGTACATGTTGCAGGCTTTGTATTAAATTCACACTTTCCCAGCTGTCGGTGTACATGCATTCAGAAACATGTGCATTGACCACTTCAGATTGAACCAGTTACAACCGGTTTTTACAAAGATGCATAGATCTATAACGGTGGTACAGTTCACTCAACTGACATTGGATGGAATTCAGTTAACAACTTAAGACTTTTTTCAGTCGCTTTTTTGGGGGGGGGGGGGAAGGTGTTGAAAACTGGTGAAAGAATACATCTTTGTTGTATGCTAATACAGTGAACACTGAATGTACTCCAACATGTTATGATACAAAAACCTACTGCACCTGCATGTTAACACTTATATTGCGTCTTATAATTGCTAATGATTTTTTTTTCTGAACCAAAATAGTGTACTTGAAATAAAATTTGCAAATCTGTAAAACAATATTCCTTATCAAGTGTGATTTATTCTTGGTATTTAATAACTGAATTGCATGCAGCAAACCAATCCGACTCCTCATTTGAAGTGCTGTGTCATCTAGAGCCGCCATCTTTGATGGAGTTCCAGACAACAGTTTAACTAATCTCTTTATTTAATGATGACATCATCCAATTCCCAATTGCATCAGTCAATTCTCAATATTGTGTTGGGAGAAATTTGATATCTTGTGTGAACCACCTTAACTGCTCGTCCCTATACTTCACCTAGCTGTTTAGTGTAGAGAACCATACACTGTTTAATTTGAGAAGTGTGTGTGTGTGGGGGTGGGGGGGGGGGGGGGTGTGCTGTATATTACCATGTAACCTCATATTTATCTTATTAGGGGGATCACTTACATGTGTTGTGTTCTCCATGGGTGGGTTCCGTATTCGACGACTGATTACAATGTATTTAAAATTTCGGAAGAGATAATTCATTTGGGCAGAATGTTTATCATATGACACATTTTATGATTTTGGAAGGGGGGGGGGGGCTCGAAACCAATATTATGATTTGTTTCCCAGGTAGACCAGCCACAAAAGACCATGTTCATAAAGAAGAATAACACAAAACATTTATTTGAAGGACACGTTTAAGTGTTTTGTGGATAGTAAGGTGATTTTTAGACTAAAGGCAGAATAGAAAAATGAACGTTCGGCTATATAATACTAAAAAATAAAAATAAAAGGATAAACCGGCTCATAGTGTGCAATATTATGGGCATGCTTTGGATCCGGGGTGAGCAAAATGGGAATTTCTTTTTTCTAAAAAAGTTGCCCTAATTTTTGTTTGTTCGTGAAATTGGTTAAAAACGGGGATAGGTAGTACTATACGTGTTGCACTTGTTTGGTGATGGCGCTTTTATAAAAAAAAAGAGAGGGATATGTCAACCCGGGGGGGGGGAGGGGTTGGTGTTTATAAGTTTCCCTCCCCTCACCCGCTGGATACGCCACTGCTATGTGCAAACATGTACGGATAAATTCGGGTATGGTTGATAAAGGTGATCATTATCTATCTTCAAATCATAAGTTAGGGTTTATATGAAATTTAAATACATGTATAGCTCTATGCTTTAAACTTTAACAAAATACGTGCAATTTAGGACAGTGCATTCATTATTAGTACTGGAAGACGAGATGGGAACAAACATTTGCCAAATACTGAAACATATCAGCTTATTTTGTGACCCATACAATATTCCACGGAAAAAAAAATCATTTATACTCATTCCTTGTTAACATAATCATTTCCTTGGGGGAAAACGCACCTTCAAGAAAATCAGCAAAAAAACATGCTTCGGCTGATGCAATGTTACTTGAAAGTTGCATTCGGCGATCTTGAAAGATCCATACAATAATCACCTGTAACACATCAAGTCCTGAAAAACAAGACTACTTTCCCAACAATCATGCACAGACGGCTGTGGATGAAGATGCTGTCCTGGAAGAGAAACGCAGTGTGGTTCAAGGCCTGGGGAAGGGGCTGTGCATGGCTTCACGGCTACGTGAAGCCATGCACAGCTTCCCCTCCCACACCCAACCCCTTGGGGGCGTTTGCCCCCCCCCCTCCCCAGTTTTTCCCAAGTGCCCCTTTTGCGGCCATAAATGTGCCCCCTCGAACAGTAAAGTGCCCCCTCAAGATACAACAAAAATGCCCTTAAAGTATCTTACTATTTCTTAGAAGTAACGATATCCCAATAATTGTACAGATATTTTTGATTTTGATATAAACAAGTAATATGAAAACCAAGTCCCAAAACCCATACAATACGGCCTGAAAAAGGGCACATAATGCATATTTAGCATATAATCATTGGTTGTACCAGATGGTACCAGCCCCCCCCCCCCCCCCCCCCCCCCCCCACCCACTATTTGATTTTACGGAGGCAAAGTGTCCGGTGAAAAAAACGTGTCGACATTTCAGCACGGGTTTGCAAGTGCCCCTTTTTGGTGATGCCCCCCCCCCCCCCCCCAGTTTCAAACCCGTTCCGCCGCCGCTGGTGGGTGGGTGGCGGCTGGGTCACGTTGACCCAACAGGCAAATTTTGCGTGGGTAGCCCAGGCCTGAACGCGTACATCACCACTGCCAAGTTCATGTTCACCGGGTCAATATGAAGTACACGTGTGAGGAAGTACTGTGACAGTACCAACTATCTTCTCTTCCTGGTGCCACCTTCCTCTGTGGTGCCTGTCACTGCCGCCCACGCCTGGAAGGAAGTTTGATAATGGGTGCCAGTGTATCACCCAATTTCCGTGTGGGTCACTTTAATTCCTCAATTCCCTCCTTACTTCAGTCAAGTTGGTAAACTTCCAAACTCAGTTACTTGGCAGATTTCTTCGCGAAGTAAACAACTTTGTTTTGAAGTTGCAACTTTTATGAATTCTCAAAAAAGGGGGATATTAAAAGCAAAATATAATTCTAAGTTAAAAATCTGGAGAAATTGACATGAAATGCTTGAAAGAAAGTTATTTTTTTAATATAATTCCAAGGTAGTTCAAAAATTAATCTGTCAAATTTGAGATGAAATGCACGAAATAAAAGTTTGTTAATTTTGTTAGTTTATCTATGTCATGGTTTCTGAGTCAAAGTTGAAAAATCTACAGGCGCAAGGTGGAATTTTATTTCGGCAAGTGGTTTACCAAATAAGGAGTTTTCTAGAAAGGCCTACCCCTCTGTCAACATAAAAAAATATATTGTTGGTACGAATCAAAGTTCAACAACTTTGTTTTTGAAATGCTGTTTGTCAGGAGGCAACTTCTAAAATATCGAAAATATCATTGTTCCTTTTCCCGTTCTTTGTCCAAGTGGGGAGAGTTGAGCGAAAACAACAGGGGTATATCTCGCTCAGAACTGTTGTATGCAAATCAGTCAAGAGCTTGAACGCGCAGGATCCTCTGAAAGAGCTTTGTACATTGTGCATACTGCATTCAGTTATATGCAGATTCAGCAGACAAGTTGCGTGCAATAAAAGATGGCCCCAACCCCCAACCTTGATGGCTTGAAGTGTTTATCGGAATATCGGAATCGTTGTTTGAACAGTCATCGCTGCCTTATCGCGGTATTAAGTCAAGATCCAAAGGTTGCCATACGTTGATCATTTATTACCAGGGAAATCCTGTGCCCGTGCACGTACACAAAATGAATGTAATAGGGTCTCAACAAAAAGACAGGTTTTGTATCAGCCATCTTGGTCTCAATTCGTCTAGTGTAACTGGGATTTAGTTTCTAAACTTTCTTCCTTCACTCAACATTATGGTGGCTAAATTCGATGGTTGTGCTGAAGAACTGATTTGGTTGCACTTATAGTACCGGTTTTTCTTTTTGTGAGTTGATGACATAATTATGAACTTATGATTATGAACTTGAAGGAATAACAAAAAGAAAGATCATCCATAAATTGTGGTGATTGTAATGGTGGTGATGGTGTCGATTTTGACAATGTGGTGATATGATGGTAGTGAAGATGACGTGGAATCGATGTAAACTTCTGGCTAAAAAACGATTGTAGGAGGTGGTGGCTATATATCTTGCCATGATAAAAAATTGGAAAAAGAAGGAATTACGTCCCTATTAAGTACTACCAATGCAATTTCTGAAATGAAATTTCTGAAATATTATTTCTGATACAAAAACGAGTAATCCCAGCGCAAAATACAAATCCATAATCACGTATCACTTCGTATACATGTGTTATTGGTTTTCCAGAAAGTTCCCAACTCTCAGTGTCAACTTGACATTCGAAATGGTTGGGTGAAAGATTGTGAGCTTTGTGGTTGAGGACTACCTATAAATGAACTCATACTTATCATATTAATTTACATACAAGTTATACAACTGGTTTGGTGAGAAATGGTAAAACAAATAAAACAAATGCCGGTCTTATGGAAATTCATTGATTTTCTCCATTAACTTGTGCTGCCACGGACGCCACGTATAGTCAAACACGTGTATCGAAGGGTATCCCCTATACTTGTCAGTACATGCCCACACTACTGCCAAACCCCATTGTACCATTTCATCAATCGATCACTAAGCTGCCAGCATAATTCGAAGCATGTGACCCACTCTGTGCGCTTTTGCTTTTGTATCTTTCATTTTCATTTTCGCCTACGTGCCCTCTTACATGACCCGCCGGCGGTAAATCTATTCAACACTCCTCGTCACATGACTCACAGTTTTTTTCTATAGCTCTGGTATGCATACAAAAAGTAGTCCCGTCACTTAGCATACAACCTTATTCCCAGGGTCTACCGTCAGACCTCGCGACAATAGTAAAGAAAGCATCTAGTGGGTGCGTACTGCTCAACACCATGGAGACGAGGTTGCTTTGCATAGTAACAAGGGATGACCTTCTTGCTCGTCAAAGCGGGAATTCCCTCTGTGGTAACAATAGCTGCAGTGCACTAGCAATCGTCATGTGACTCGGGAATGCCATTTGATAGCTTCCACCCCCGCATTTCCCGGTCCTTTTGATTCAGTTGTTGGAGTTGTTTGTTCCTTTTCGGCTCGAGGTCACCTTGGTCCGACCTGGGGAAGCCGGGAAAATCATGTGACTCCATCACGAACAAATAAAAATCTGACAAACAAGTTCGATAGTTGGTCACGGGATGATTGGGGATGCCGGAAAAGCCTGAACAAAAATTCGTGTAGTGCCTGGGAAACTGAAAGTAGAACGACTCTTATCATCAGGAATGCCACATGGAAACAGTTTTGATAGGCCTGCGACTTATAAGTTTAATACATGTATAGGCGGAACAGAATAATTTCTAACTCACTAGTCTAAATTTGATACCAAAACTTAAAAGTCGGGATAGTCCTCGTAAACCTTGACTGCAGTGTTCGGAGGGCTACAGCAATGTCAACATGCATACATGTATATGTGACGTAGCCTTCTTTTGCAAGATATGTTGGCTTAGTTATATGCCTAATAGGTCGACAAAAATCCCGCACAAAAACGTCATGTCA